ATCTATCTATCTATCTATACTTTACTGCATTGTACTTAATTAAGACAAAAGTGCCAAAAATGAATAATTATAGATATATACTGACTCACATGTTCCTTGCACACAGACATCATACCTCATCAATACTTGCTAATTTTATGGAAGGGTTTTATACTATTTGAATTCCTCCAATTGGATAAAATAATGTTTTATTTTAAAGAATAATACACCAGTTCCATTTCCTGACTTCAACTGGCCTGTTCCATGAAACCTTGCAGTTCCTATAGTAGTTAAACTAAAATTTTACATTAAAATTTGAACTTAAGTGGCATTGTGATTGCTGTGTTGTAGCGATATGCACAAGGCAAATGTTAAAAAATGTTGTTTAAGTTCTTGATAATATGACATAAAATCAGGGCTTAATTGCAACTCTCCGAGTGAGAGAGAAGAAATGAGAGGGACAGAGAGAGAGAGAGAGAAAGAGAGAGGGATTTTCAATCTTAGAACATTGGCGCACCAAGGCAATTATTTGTGTCTAATGACCTGCTCCAGTTAATAGAAGGGTGTCTCTGTGCTCCACTTGTTCCCCTTGGCCAGTCGATGACAATGGATCTGTCAGCTGGGGCTCTGAGCTTGGCTAGTTAACCTGACCTTTTCAGATCACAGTGATTAGTGGCACAGTGACATTTCTTTACTCTTCTTCTATCGTTCTGTGTCCTTCCTTCTCATGATCCCTCCTTTTCACTAAGGAGGTTGTTGCTGTGCCAAAGGGATACAGTCACCCTGCCAAGTATACACACACACACACACACATACACAGACTTGTCCAAGACATACAAATTCTCTCCAAGTTAGTTTATGTCATCCTATAGTTCTTGAACTGTCCCATTCTTCAGGAAAACACCTCATTTAGCACAGCATGCCAGTAAACAACACAGACTACAGACACACACATTCAAGCAGCACTCAGCTCCAACCTCTAAACATTCTAGTGATGTGCATCCAAGAACTCGTGGATAAATACACACAGAGACACACGTCATGAACATGTCAACTTGTGTTGCCTCACAATTAAGTAATTTGGAGCTTGTTTTGGTTCCTGTATGCTTGCCAGATGTGATAGCTGATGTTTTGCTTTAAGACAGAAAATTAACTGTTCTAACCACACCTGTACATGCTCTCCTCTCCTCTCCAAGTGACCCACTCCTGCTCTGTTCAACTTTCCCCCTGTTTCTCATGTCCCCTTATCTCACTCTAATGTGCATCAAGATGGACGGTGGAGCTGACAGAGGGAGGCAAGAAGTATATGTGTGTGTTGGGACATTGAGGTCTAAAAACCATCTGTTGTTGACTGCATCCTCTGAAGACAAGAGCTGAGTGATAAACTGGGGTTAATTAGACCATAATACGTTACATTTGCTGCCACATGATCGGTGCAATTTGGCAGGATCCAGCCATTCTTACTAAAGACATCCTGTTGTTATCTTTAGCTGTTGAATAGTTACTCCTGTTTTTTTTTTTGTAAACAGCTTACAGTATGTCTTTGCTATTTCAAAAGTGGATTGGTGATTGGATATTGGTTATTTGCAGGGTTAGACACAACATATTCAGTAAACTTGATATTTATGGTAAAAAATAGGAGTGGATTAGCTGATTCCTAACCACATCCAGAGCAGTTTTGTGTTCATATGGCTGCAATAGAGTGCAGTGACATTGTACCATGCTGCCAGTCCCTGCACATCTGGCTGTGTTTAGCAGGGTGTGGGCTAACTAGCGCCATGTGGCTAAGTGTAGGGTGTCACTGTTCCAGCCCAGGCTAGGCCTTTTTAGGTCCAGGGACTTTGGATGAAGCCCCAACCAAGCCACAGATTAGAGGACCAGCATGCTCACATACAGCTGGCTCTGGGCCTGCAAGTGTGCACACTGTATATATGTGAGCATGCAGATATGTGGTTATATGCGTGTGTTTGTAAGTTTGTAATTTAGTGTGTGTCACTGTGTGAGTGAGTGAAAATGGTATTTGTATACAGTGTGTGTATGCAGCTTGCTTTTTTTTGCTGTCATTCATACTGTGTACAGAGGTACAAACTAAATAATATATTAGGTTAAACAAAGATGCAGCTTATAATGCTGAGGAGGAAAGAAATAGGGTGAAGGAGAGGACAGAGTGAAAATGAGACAGATGGAATAATAAAAGATACAGAGAAAAAGGGGACATACAGACAGAGCAAGGGCGAGGGTAAGAGATAAACAGGTGGAAATGGAGAG